CCCGTCTTTATCTAAATACGTAGCGGCGCACCGCTCGTGCCGAAATCCCCCTAATCTGAGGAAGGCCTTAAGCTGCGGTGTGCGATTGTGCCGAGCCGCCGAACGATCCCATGGTGCCCAGGTATTGCCCCGTCGAGGTCTCGCACGCGCGGGAGACGAGGTCGCAGGCGATGGCGACGGCCTCTACAGGGATGATGCTCGGAGCTACGGAAGGCAGCGCACTCCGCCCTAGCGCTTGGCCGGCGAAACTCGCATGTACACCTCACGTAACCTCCTCTGCCAGGGGGGTGTGGTGACCGAAACTGTGCCCCAAAATCTGACCGAGCGTGGTAGAAACCAGCGTCCGAATTGTCATGGACGCGCCTGGGTGTGACCAAAACCTTTGGTTCGAAACCAATGCAATGCTCGGTTTCAGTAAAATGTCGGCCGCACGACGTTTCGGTCACGACTTCGGGCACTTGTTCGCACACGTACTTTGTTGGTAAGTGTACGGTTGATGGGGGCCTGGCGCCATGACACACTTAGTCATCATGCGAATCTCGTCTGCGCATCGGTTGTTTTCACCAGAGACGTGGGCCTGCCATTCGAAGTCGTTGACCGAACTGGCCGGCATCGACTTGGATGTGCAAGTCTAGGGCTCCCAACTTCGCGCTTCGCGCTCCCCGAAGCGCGAAGCGCGAATAACTTCACGCTCTCGCGCCGCCCTCCCAAAGGGAGAATAGGAGGACGAGGAGGAGGGGGAGAAGGAACGAGGACCGCGAAGCGCGAAGCGCGAATAACTTCGCGCCCTCGTGGGAGCCCTTGTGGATGTGCAAGTCGTGCTCAAAGAGAGCTCCGCCTCCGCCTGGCGATGGCGCTGGGCCTCGGCCTGGCGATCGGCCTGCACGAGGGCCCGGGGTCATGCCAGGCGTTTGGCCGCACGCGCCTGGGAGGAGGAGGAGGAGGAGGAGGAGGAGGAGGAGGAGGAGGAGGAGGAGGGGGAGGGGGGGAGGAGGAGGAGGAGGAGGATGGAGGAGGAGGAGGAGGAGGAGGGGGAGGAGGAGGAGGAGGAGGAGGAGGAGGATGAGGATGAGGAGGAGGAGGAGAAGGCTTTTTGCCTCGACGAGCCCAGGCCTCGGACTGGCACTCGGCCTCGGCGGGGGGGTCGGGCGCCGGGCCTCCACGCGGCGCTCGGCCGAAGCCTCGGCGAGGCGCCCGGCCTCGCCTCCTCGTGGCGCTGGGCCTCCGCCCGGAATGGGGCATCGGCTTCGCGGCGGGCCTCCGGCCGACGCTTCGAGACCAGGTTGACAGGGGCGCGGGCACGGCGTCTGGCGCGGGGCCCCGCGAGCGAGAAGTGAGGGGGAGAGACGGGGACAGGAACTGAGGGGGAGTGGAGAGAAAGGGAGGGGGATCAATCAAACCTAAACTCCGATGCCCAGCGCTCCTCGGGCAAGCGACCGGCCCGCAGATACCAACAAAAACGGAACCACATGCAAGAATCGACAGAATGTCCTGCAAATTGGCACTGGTTCGGAACTTCTTTGCAGTGTCCCGCGAGTGTCCTGCATCAGCCCCCCTCGATGGGGACGCAACTCATGACAAACAGTAAGAACTGTTTTGCAGCCACGCGTCGCTGCGCCGCACGTGCCTTCTGCTGCAAACCACATACGAATTGCGAAGTTAAAAGACAGCGGCCCCCGAAGGGGATCGAGACCTCGAGCATGCGCAGGCTCGAACGAGGTTGGCACGCATTACAATGGAATGTGCGCGGCGAGGCACTTCGATTGGTTGCGGTCCGACACGTCGTAGAAGCAACTCGCCGACGGCCCGAGTGCCGCTGGACGCTCCGAATCGAAAACTGCTACAATCGGCAAAACGTAATTTGCACGCAAATGCCAGCCCGGAGGGTTTCATATGGCACCGTCCACTGATGAGCGCGTTTTCCACCACCACCACCATAAGTTGGATGGGGCGAAGGGGGAGGAGGAGGAGGAGGAGAGGAGGAGGAGGAGGAGGAGGAGGAGGAGGACCCCCCCCTCCAACTTATGGTGGTGGTGGTGGAAAACACGCTCATCGTCCACTGTGCCCCCGCCTCGGGCGCCCTGGGCGCTCGGCCTCGGCGGAGCTCCGCACGACGCCGGGCCGCCTCTGCGTGGTGCTGAGCCGCAGGAGGCTGCTCCGTTCCCCGCTGCTCCGCGCAGGAGCCCGTGGGGAAGAGTTTCCTCCTTTCCTCCTCCTCCCTCCTCTCTCCCCCCTCCCCCTCCTCCTTCTCCTCCTCCTCCTCCTCCTCCTCCTCCTCCTCCTCCTTGGGCATCGTTTATCCGAACCCTATCCCCATCTAGGTGGCCTTTTCTCCACTTGGGGATTTGCCCCCCGAGATGGGGACATAGGCCGTCTCCCTCGGGTTTTGGAGGGTATATCCCCAAGTCGGGGGCGGCGGGAGGGGGTGGGCTGGTGGGGGGCTTCATGGGGTTGGGGTTAGGTTAACCGATACTGTGACCTGGAGCCCGGCGAGCGGGCAGAAGACCGCGAGGAGGAACGCCAGGCCCAGCACGAACTCGGGCGCCTCCCTGCGAAGCGGCTTGCTGCTGTTGACGCTGGCGCCGGTCGGCCATCTGCTGGGCCCCGCAACAGGGCGTGGCCCTGGGCTGACTCCTGGTACGTTGGCCTGCTCTGGCCCTCCCGGGCCGCGTATGCCAGGCGGCGCCTCGCCGCTCTCCCTACAAGTTCATGTTCACGTCGATGTCGTAGGTCCCTGCGTGGTCCGCAGTTATGTCTCGGCTGAGCTCGGGAGCGGCAAAGAGGGGGGGGTCAAAGAGGGGGGGGTGCAAATCATGACCGGCGGCATGTGCGCGGCCCAGCGGGGGGCCCAGGGACGTAATGAAACAAGAAGAGACGCCATGAAATCTGGGGAATATCATGGCCCCCGCCATGATATCCAGCCCCCCCTAGTCATCACCCCCCTCTTTGCCGCCCCCGATGAGCGCTGGTGTCCTCGGATTCACCCGGGCAGGGAATCGGGGGCGATCCTGCCCAGACCACGGCAGGCGCCACGCCCGGCACCCACCCGCCGCGAGCCCCCCCCCGCCCCTGCGTCGAGGGTCGGAGGGGAGGTCCCAGCCCCCGCGTCGGGCAACGGCTCCTCCTCCTCCTCCTCCCCCTCCCCCTCCCCCTCCCCCTCCCCCTCCCCTCCCCCCTCCCCTCCCCCTCCCCCCCCTCCCCCTCCCCTCCCCCCTCCCCCTCCCCCTCCCCTCCCCCTCCCCCTCCCCCTCCTCCCTCCCCCTCCTCCTCCTCCTCCCTCCTCCGCCTCCTCCCTCCTCCTCCTCTCCTCCCTCCTCCCTCCTCCTCCTCCTCCCTCCTCCTCCTCCTCCGCCTCCTCCTCCTCCTCCTCCTCCTCCTCCTCCTCCTCCTCCTCCTCCTCCCTCCTCCTCCTCCGCCTCCTCCTCCTCCTCCTCCTCCTCCTCCTCCTCCTCTCCTCCTCCTCCTCCTCCTCCTCCCTCCTCCTTCCTCCCCTTCCTCCCCTTCCTCCTCTTCCTCCCTCCTCCTCCTCCTCCTCCTCCTCCTCCTCCTCCTCCTCCTCCTCCTCCTCCTCCTCCTCCTCCTCCTCTCCTCCTCCCCCCTCCTCCCTCCCCCTCCCCCTCCCCTCCCCCTCCCCTCTCCCCCTCCCCCTCCCCCCTCCCCTCCCCCTCCCCCTCCTCCTCCTCCTCCTCCTCCTCCTCCTCCTCCTCCTCCTCCTCCTCCTCCTCCTCCTCCTCCTCCTCCTCCTCCTCCCTCCTCCTCCTCCTCCTCCTCCTCCTCCTCCTCCTCTCCTCCTCCCCCTCCTACTCCTCCTCCTCCTCCTTTTTCGCAACTCCTCCCCTATTCCTTTTCCGCTTCAAAGAATTTCTCCCTGTCGCACCCCGAGGCCACTTCTCAGGGCGGGCCGGGCGTTTCGCCCGAGACTTCCTCACCACTAACGACCCTGAAACGCAAACATTGGCACCCGTTTCACAAATGGAGCGCGGGTGGCTTTCAAAATATGGTTCTCGCCGCAGCGCCGCGCTCGTGTACAAAAATGCAAAAGCATCACATATTGAGGGTGGCACATATTCAAAATGTGGCTCTCGCCTGAGCGCCGCGCACTTTCTTTTAAAAATGCAAGCTCTTCACGGATTGAGGGCGACTGGTTCTCAAAATGTGGCTCTAGCCTTAGCGCCGCGTACATCTGTTTTACAAGTTTGCAGGAGCTTCACGGATTGAGGGCTCCTTTTCAAAATGTGGCTCTCGCCTTAGCGCCGCGTACTTTCGTTTTACACATTGACAATAGATTCATGGATTCCCATGATCAACGTAGCAGAAACGGCGTGTTGGAAAGATTCCAAATTATGCGGGTGCAACAAACAGTTACGTTGATTCGCGGTGTTGAAATCACAGGAATGGCGTTCTGGCACGATTCAGGCTCGTCAAAACGCAACAGTAGGTTGATCCGTAGCGCTGGAATCCTGAGAACAATGGTTTGGCATGCTGCAGAATCTTCAAACGGTTGTCACTCCGACGAGGCAGCTCCCTCAGTGGAGATGAACCGTTCTGGGAGCCTATGAAGAGAGAGCTTGGAGGGAGGGTTTATTCCAACATCGTTGATGATTCTTGGGTTTACACTGGTCCTCTTTCTCCTCTTCCTCCTCCTCCTCCTGCTCCTCCCCATCCTCCTCATCCTCCGCCTCCTGGCTCCGCAGCCTGCTTCTGTTGCCCCCCGCCTCCAACAATCTTCATCCAACCCTCCTCCTCCCCGATCACACTCCCGCCGCTGCCACCACACAGCTTCCTCCTCTTCCTCCTCCTCCTCCTCCTCCTCCTCCTCCTCCTCCTCCTCCTCCCATCCTCCCTTCCCACCCGGCGAGCGCGAGGGCATCGCACCAATTAGGGACCGGGCGGGGAACCGGAATAGGTCCTTTCCTCGACGGCGGTGCTGCGCCTTCCCCCACCCCGCCCCCTCATTCCCCCCTCCTCGCCGGGGCGACCGACCGCCGCGGGAGCAGTGCCTCCTTGCAGATGGCCCCCTTGAGCGCTGCCTGCGGTCGCCCGCCGCCCCTCGTCGACGCCTTCGTCGTTGCCCGTCGGCCTATCGCCCGCCGCCTGTCGCACGACCGTCGCCCTCGTCGCCGCCGCCCGTCGCCCCATGGCCCGTCGCTGGCCAATGTGTGGGCCTCGGGGGCCGATGGGGGGCCTCCTCCTCCTCCTCCTCCTCCTCCTCCTCCTCCTCCTCCTGAAAGAGGAAGGAGTTTTTTGCCACCGACAACAAAGCAGTCCAGATCGGGGTCCCCACTCAGGTCCACAATAGACCGAGGGAAGCCTGAAAGACTGACTTGTGGAACTCCATCGAACGATGGCCCGGGTACTGTAGTCGTCTGGCTCATGGACTTACACGTGGCCCGAGCAGAGGCCCACAGTGTCAAGGTTCTGCCAGTCGCATGATGAAGGGAAATCAAAAGTTGTGATGACCTTGCTGGTGATGCAGCCCGAATACAGAATTGAGGGCAGGATCGTTCTCTTATGGCCTCCCAAGAGCGACGTGCCGAGCTCGTGTGGAAGAGGCTTCGGGCCAATAGACGGCATTTCTGTGGACCCGAGGCCGCGTCTTGAAGTGGAACAATACCCGCCTCATTCGTCGGCCCTTGCTAAGATTGCTCGGCACGAAGGACCGCATCCAAAAAGAACGCAAACCAGCGGCTTGTAGCTTACGTAGGTCCATATATTCTTATCTCGAGCCTATGAACGGTATCCTGGGTAGAATTCAGCCTGATTTCCAAGTCCACTCTGCGAGGGGGTGGCTGCACACCCAACATGATCTGTTCTACCACGGTAGCCTGAAGGTATGGTTTTGTGGAGCATGCGTAGATTAGTCCTCCCAGCAGGTGCGATCCCTATGGGGCTCCTTACAAGCCAAGTTCCAGCAAGACTCGTCGCGAGCATATGCGGAGGATTGTTGCTGTAATATGGCCTAGAGTCTTGTCTTTTTCATAGGGGCGAGCCAGGGTTCTTGCACCACTTTAACGGACGGTATCGCTTTGCGAACTAACATTTTCCATGTCTGTGTCCCTCCTCACCCTCCACATACCATCTCATCGCCATCACCACACACCAAAAATACACAGCGTTTCCTTGCTTCTCAAACAAAAAAAAACAGCGTTTCCTTGCACCGAGGGCACCAAACACTGTGTATGTTTGGTTTGCTTGCTTTGCAACAAGGAAGAAGAAAGGAAAGGTGTGTATTTTTGTTTTTGGTTTTGCAAGCCCCTTTCCTTTCCTCTTCCTTGTTGCAAACCAAGAAAACCAAACATGCACAGTGCTTGGCGCCCTCGGTGCAAGGAAACGCTGTGTATTGTTTGTTTTGTTTTGGTTTTTTGGTTTGAGAATCAAGGAAACCTTGTGCATGTTTGTTTTTTTTTGTTTTTTTGGTTTTGGAAGCCCCGACGCTCGCACCAGCCTCCCTCCTGGCACCCTTAGAGCTTGCAGAACCCCAAAAAAAACAAACAAACAAAAAACTCAAGGTTTCCTTGATTCTCAAACCAAAAAAAAACAGCGTTTCCTTGCACCGAGGGCGCCAAACACTGTGTATGTTTGGTTTTCTTGGTCTGACAAAAAAAACATTTCCTTGCACCGACGGCGCCATACACAATGCATTATAGGTTTCCTTGGCTTGGGAGACGCAGGGAAGGAGGAGGAGGAGGAGGAGGAGGAAGAGGAGGAGGAGGAGGAGGAGGAGGAGGAGGGGGAGGAGAAGGAGGGGGAGAAGGAGGAGGAGGAGGAGGAGGAGGAGGAGGAGGAGGAGGACGACGAGGAGAAACGATCAGTGAAGATTTTGTGGTTTGAGGAGGAGAGCGACGAGGAGAAACGATCAGTGAAGATTTTGTGGTTTTGGTGGTTTGGGGGTGCTGGGGGGGGGCGACCATATATATGTATATATATATATATATATATATATATATGTATATGTCTAACTGTGTGTATGTGCATCTATAAATATATACACATACATACATACATACGTACGTACGTACATACATACATACATACATACATACATACATACATCCATCCATCCATCCATCCATCCATCCATCCATCCATCCATCCATCCATCCATACACACATACATACATACATACATACATACATACATACATACATACATACATGCATGCATGCATGCATGCATGCATACATACATACATACATACATACATACATATGCATATATACAACGGGGGACTGGGGCCGGAGGCCGGCGCCTCGACCACAAATGCGGGGCCCAGGCGTCATTTCCCGTTTGTTTTTACAAGGCTTCGGCGACCGGGGCCCAACAGGGCCCTCAGAGGCTGCATGGAGGCCCCGGGAGGCCGAAGCGATGGCTCCAGACGCCTTTCAAGACGACTCCCATGACGCCAAGGCCCCCGAAGGCCCCGAAGACGCCCCAAGAGGCACCCCGAGAGAGGCCCAATAAGCACAAATCGTCGATTCCCGATGGGGAAACTGATATTTTTGGAATGTTCGCCTTTTGGGCTTCCACTGCGTCCAAGACGGCCCAAGAGGCCCCCAAGACTGCCCCACAGGCTCCCAAGAGAGCTCCAAGACGACCCCAAGAGGGCCCCAAGACGGCCCGAGAGGCCCCCAAGACAGTCCAAGAGAGCCCCAGGACGAGCCCCAGAGGGGTCCCAGAGGTGCAGAACCATACTAGAATTCCGAGCTTTCGACCCCAGAGGCTCCCAGGAGGCCCCAAGAGGTCCCCAGAAGGCCCCAAGAGGCCCCCAGAGGCCCCAAGAGGCCCTCAAGAGACCCCCAGGGGGCTCCCCAGGGGCACGCCAATAGAGCCCCTATGAGCAAAAATCGTCGATTTCCCATGGGGAAACTTATATTTTTGGCGCGTTCGCCTTTGGGGCTTCCACTGCGTCCAAGACGGCCCAAGAGGCACCCAAGACGGTCGAGGATGCCTCCAAGAGGGCTCCAAGACGGCCCACGAGGGGGCCAAGACGGCCCACGAGACGCCTAAACCGCTCAACAACGCCCCAAGTCGACGCCCAAGACGGGGACGAGGAACCGAAAATGCAAGCCGTTTGGCCCAAGAAGCCCCCAGGAGACCCCAAGAGGCTCCAAGAAGCGCCCAAGAAGCCCCAACAGGTCCCCAAGAGACCCGCAAAAACACAAAAAGAGTCCCCGAACACGCCCCAAGGGGCACTCCAATAGAGCCCCAATAACCAAAAATCGTCGATTTCCTATGGGGAAACTTATGTTTTTGGCGTGTTCGCCTTTGGGGCTTCCACTGCGTCCAGGACGGCCCAAGAGGCACCCAAGCCGGTCGAGGATGCCCCTGAGAGGGCCCAAAGACGGCCCACGATGGGGTCAAGACGGCCCACGAGGCTCCCAAACCGCCCAAGAACGCCCCAAAGCGGCGCCCAAGACGGGGACGACGAACCCAAAATTCACGCCTTTTGGCCCAAGAGACCCCCAAAGAGGCTCCAAGAAGCGCCCACTGCCCAAGAGGCCCCCATGAGACCCGAAAAATCACCAAAAGATGCCCCGAAGCGCTCCCCCGGGCGTTCCAGGGGGCCTCCGGCGCTCCAGGAGGGCCCGCAGGAGCCCCCAGGATGCGAAAGGATGGTCCAAACCGCTCCCAAGCAGCCCAAGTCAGCCTTCCGAAGGCTCTGGAGGCTTCCATGTGATCTCCAAGAGACCCCAAGAGAGGTCCGAGAGGCGTCCCGGGACGGCCCGAGGAGGCCAAAATCGTAGATCTTCATTTGTTTTTGTTCAATGTTCTTGACTTCTCGCGTTTCCGAGCTTCCAACGGTCTAAGAGCGCCGACGAGGCTCCCAAGACCGCCCCAAGACCACCCAAGAGACCCTCAGGACGGCCCCAAGACGGGCCAAGAAGGCTCCAAGAATGCCACCAGGTGTCCAGGACAGCCCCAGACCACCCCAGAACAGGCCCAAGATGGGGCCAGGAGCGGGAGCAGGAGGCTTCCAGAGACCTCCGCAGAGGCCCCCAACACACTCCCGATCCCTGAGAGGCCCCAGAAAGACCCCGACGAGGCTCCAAGATCAGCCCAAGAGAGCTGCGAGTCGTAAAATCGTTGATGTCCCATGTTTTTTTCTAATGTCGCAAACACAGAACGAGCGTCGCGCATGACGTGGGCAGCTCATGCTGCCGGATTGCGCGGCCCCAAGAAGGAGGACGGGAGGAGGAAGAGTGTGGAAAGTGAAGCGTAGCATCCGATACCGACGATGTCCCCAGAAGAGAAGCGCGAGCTGATCCTACGCTAGGCTAGCAATCGCCTCGGCGCGCCCGACGTCACTATTCGAAATCGCATTCTTATGAAGTGATACCGACGTCCGGCACCCCTTTTCGGGCGTCGCCGCCTCCGTGTAGTCATCTTCACCGAGCAGACCTCCGATAGCAGCATCCACCTCCATCAAGTGCTTGACGTAGAAGTTGAAGTACTTGATGCCCTGGCTCGTGCTGCCGTGCACGACCTTCAGCTTCAGCGGGCCGAACCTCGTCCAGCCCTGGGCGGCCTGGACCGTCTCGTCGCGCGACCCCCCGGCAGTGAAGGTGAGGCCGCCGGGCCGCACCTTGTCCGCCCAAGCCCCTGTGATGTTCACAGATTGGAAGTACATGTCCGCGCAATGCGAGCCCACACGACGCGCGTCTGCCACCACGGTGAGCAATGACTTCTCGAACGGCTGTCCGCGCGGAATCTGAATCAGCACGGCCTTGCCAGGCCTCATCAGGTCGAACCGCTGGCCGTGGATGTTCTGGAGATGCGGGTCGCCCGTCGCCGATACCGCTGGTGTTGGCGCCGGCTGGGCCGTCGTTGATGCTGGCGTCGCCACCTGCACATTGGTGAGATCGACACCGCTAGCGTCCCCGCCATAATAAGGAGATCCCCATGCTACAGCCGTGCCGTCGTTCTTGCGAGCCACACACGCAAACCCGCCACACATCACATCCGCTACATTGGTGAGACCACCGGGAGCGGTACCGCCATAATCTTGATGTCCCCATGCAACAACCGTGC